TGGACAAGGTTAATCTTTCACTCTGCAAAATACCCAAGAGAAATAAAAACATATATCCACATAAAAACTTCTACCTAAATTTTCATAACAGCATTATTTCAGAATATCCAAAAAGTAAAAACAACCCAAATGTCTATCAACTGATGAAATGGGGTATATCCATACAATGGAATATTTTTTGGCCATAAAAAGGAATGAACTTCTAATACATGCTGCAACATGGATGAACCTTAAAAACAAGCTAAGTGAAAGAAGCCAGACTCAAATGATCACTCAAATGATTCTACTTATATGAAATATCCAGATGGGCAAATCTATAGAGATAGAAAATAGGTTAGTGGTTGCTTGGGGTTGGGAACAGAGAGTGCATACAAATAGGCACGAGATTTCTTCCTTGGGGGTGATGAAAATGTTCCGGAATAATTATCTAGTGGCAATGGTTGCACAACTCTGTAAATATGTTGAAAACCATTGAAACACTTTAAAACTGGTAAATTGTATGTAAAATATGTCTCAATAAAGTTGTTTTTTTGTGGGTGTTATTTCAGTAAATAGATGTGATGACCACACTGTAATGCATGTGGTGAAGTGTCTAAAGACACATGTGTATAACCCTAGTCAACCACCCAGGCAAAAAAGGATGTTGCAGCCAGCTGGAAAAAGGCCAGTTCTTCTCTGCTTAATGGCTCAGAGAGCCTGTATTTTGATTGAATGGGAGTGAAAAGACTATATGATGTGAAGGGGTCTACTAGGCTTTTTCTGACCCCCTTTGTACAGAAACACCCAGTATACTTTCTCTGGTTCCTATCTTACTGGAGTTGTCCCTCACGAAACACAAAACAGAAATGGCTTTGACACAGTAAAGCCAATGTACTTCTGAGTCTTCACACTAGACCAGAGGGACAGAACTTGGAGGGTTCCCACAGCATAGAATGGCTATTCTCAACACTATGACAATGCCTGTCACTCTGGAGTTTTTCTCACAGACAGACAAGTAAAAACATCACAAAACTATACACACAAAAATAAAATATATTTTTAAGCATATTAAGACATATGGGCCAGGCGTGGTGAGTCACGCCTGTAATCCTACCACTCTGGGAGGCCAAGTCGGGCGGATTGTTCAAGGTCAGGAGTTCGAAACCACCCTGAGCAAGAGTGAGACCCTGTCTCTACTATAAATAGAAAGAAAATTAATTGGCCAACTAATATAAATAGAAAAAAAAATTAGCCAGGCATGGTGGCACATGCCTGTAGTCCTAGCTACTTGGGAGGATGAGGCAGGAGGATCACTTGAGCCCAGGAGTTTGAGGTTGCTGGGAGCTAGGCTGACGCCACGGCACTCACTCTAGCCTGGACAACAAAGCGAGACTCTGTCTCAAAAAAAAAAAAAAAAAGAAATATGTAACATACTTTTATGTATCAACAATCTATTAGAAATATTACAAAATGAATATATATTTTATATGTAAATATATTTAAATAGATACATATATAATAAGGTAGAGTGCTATTTTCCCATCTAAGGTGGTTTTCCCTAGCCAGGCAAGAGGAAATCATCTATATACATATGAAGGGGGGGAATAGCACACACATATACACATAAATATATATGCATACTATATTTTGCACTGAAAAGATACATAATTCTGATACATACACACATGGATATTTTAAAACTATGAACAATAATAAAATAAAAATGTATATTAAAAAGACACATATAAAAATGTTTGTAAAAGTACTGCTTGCTACAGTGAGAACAGTGTTACATCAGTTAAAAGTTTTTTAATTTTAAATTTTTAAAAATATTTTTTTAAATAGACATAATAACTCCCCTATCACCTAAGTGGTTACAGTAGAAATAAATGAGAGAAAAAAGGCATTTTGTTTAATAGAATGTGTCAGGCATGAGTTTTAGAAAAAAGGAAATAAATATTTGATTAGCTCCAAAACTTGGTTGGCACTTTCTCTTCTTCCCCTCCTCCCTCCCTCCTTCCCTTCTTCCTTCTTTTTCTTCTTCACTTTATATTTTTTTATATTTTGGTTGACAATATAAGGGATCATCAGTCAAGCTTTATCTTTTATATTGTGATCTATATTGCTACGTCATAATTATACATATTTATGGAGTATAATTTGATGTTTTTATATCTATATGTTCTATAATGATGAAATCAGGGTATTTAGCCTACACATCACCTCATACATTTATCATTTCTTTGTGGTGAGAATATTCAAAAGTCTCTTTTCTACATATTTGTAAAATGCAATACCTCACTGTTAACCATTGTCACCCTACTATGCAACAGAACACCAGAACTTATTTCTCCTATTTAAATGTAACTTTGTACCCATTGACCAGCATTTGGTGGTGACCAAAATATATAGACTCCAACCATAAATATCACAGAATTATCTTTTTTGAAACTAGATGGATTTTATAGCAGAGTCTCCAAGGAGACATCCCATTTTTCATATAACTACTCAATTCTTATCTGTACATTATCTTTTATTTTGAGTAATTTATATTTATGTTTCTTCGTTCTATAAATTTAACCTGAGATGATCTGTTTTTAACTTCCTATTAATAGCAGTTTTATGTCACACATTCATCCCCTTGAATAGAAAATCCTTTTGCTTTTTCTTCCCATATTTTTGGCAGTTATTAAACAGCAAAACAGCACTATGCTCAAGATGTTTAATCTTTTGCTATAGAAACCTTTTGCAACTTGTTTTATAAATGCCTGGCTAGTTTCTTAGCCAAGTGGTAACACAAGGTACCCAGATAAAAGTACATCTTAGGCTTTCGTCATCCTCATTTTCATGAGGCTTGTCAAATACATGGAAGTTTTAAGGAAGGATACAGCTTTCAGTGTAATATAACAGACTTTTCCAATAGAGCTGTCCACAGCTGGGGTGGGCCAGTCTTAGGAGGTTTTTAGCATCTTATTAGTGGAAGAATTCAGTAAGTAGCTAGATTACCATTTAATTGGAAAGTGGAGAGGGGTGTGCAGAGAGTGGGGCACTATAGAGGAATTCAAGCAATAATAAATGTGATGCTGGATTAGATTATCTTAGAATTATATTCTATCCCTGGAATTCTTTATCATGTGCAATTAGTTTAAATGGAATCTGCCCCATTAAAGCTTTGATGGTTGCCAGTATTCTCTTAGATGTTGAATTTCTCAGTCTTTTTTTTCCCAAAATTTTTACAGGGGTACAAATTTTAGGTTACATATATTGCATTTGCACTGGCTGAGTCGGAGCTACAAGTGTGCCCATCCCAGACTGTGCACACTGCACCCATTAGGCATGTGTTTACCCATCCCCTCCTCCCCCCTCCCACCTCCCACCTGCCCGATCCCTGATGAATGTTACTTCCATATGTGCACATAAGTGTTGATTAATTAGTACCAATTTGATGGTGAGTACATGTGGTGCTTGTTTTTTCATTCTTGGGATACTTAGTAGAATGGGTCCCAGCTCTATCCAGGATAATACAAGAGGTGCTAGATCACCATTGTTTTCTGTGGCTGAGTAGAACTCCCTGGTATACATATACCACACTTTATTAATCCACTCATGTATTGATGGGCACTTGGGTTGAATTTCTCAGTCTTAAGGAGACCTGTCAGGTTTTTTATCCTTTTTGTCTTTATTCATATCCAATATCATTCTCTATGTTTAAGTATCAAAAACCTAACAAGTAACTGAGCAATCTGCCTTCCAGATGCAACTTCCAAAAGAGTTGAGACTTGGCTTTAACCATGAGAGTTCCAACTAGCATTTATGGGCCAGGTTCTTCTTGCTCTGCCTCCCTATGAATCATCAGTGCATGCTACATAGTAATAATAAATGTGTTAAATCTATGAATGAAAGGCAGAGTATTATAAACTTAATTTCAGATTGTCTATAACCATACTGTCTGATATAACTTTCCACAATGATGGAAATGTTTTATATCTATGCTGTCTAGTATGGTTGAAATGTGACTAGTGTGACTGAGGAACTAAATTTTTAATTGTATGTAATTCTAATTAATTTGAATTGAAATAGCAACTCATAGCTAGTTGGCTATTATAATGTTAGACAGCTCAGCTCTATAAGAATAATTTTAAGAAGTTCCCATAGCCTTTTTAAAATCTGTAAGTGCTCTGGCAATAATACTGACTTTGTTTTCTTTCATTTGTTCAGAAGCATTTTCTGAGCAACTGCTTGTTGATAGCAGTGCAAAATGAATGACACAGCTTCTGTCTTTGATCTATGGCCAGGGTCTTGACAGTTATTATACTGATAGGTACAATGTGAAAAGAAGCATATGGGGTAATATGGGGGACACAAAGAAGAGACCACATGACTGTTTAAGGGAATAAAAGAAGGCTTCTCAGAAAAACTGATACTCGAATACTTGAGCTGAAACCTTAAAACGGCAGTTTGAATATTTTTTTCCCTCTGTTTTTGCTATTTTCTGTAAGAACAGGTTTCCTGGGTTACTCATAATGCATCTGTCATAGTCAATTTTTTTTTTTTTTTTTTTTTTTTTTGAGACAGAGTCTCGCTTTGTTGCCCAGGCTAGAGTGAGTGCCGTGGCGTCAGCCTAGCTCACAGCAACCTCAAACTCCTGGGCTCAAGGGATCCTTCTGCCTCAGCCTCCCGAGTAGCTGGGACTACAGGCATGCGCCACCATGCCCGGCTAATTTTTTCTATATATATCAGTTGGCCAATTAATTTCTTTCTATTTATAGTAGAGACGGGGTCTCGCTCTTGCTCAGGCTGGTTTTGAACTCCTGACCTTGAGCAATCCGCCCGCCTCGGCCTCCCAGAGAGCTAGGATTACAGGCGTGAGCCACCGCGCCCGGCCTGTCATAGTCAATTGAGAACCAACTTTCTCCCTGTCTTTCCTTTGCTTCCTACAAGCTCTCAATTTTGGTCAAGAGACATGGGTCTCTCCCTTTCCCCCCAACCCTGCCACCTTGACACATCTTTTCTTCCTGCAGTGTTCGGTAAAAAGCTGCATCACTGCCTTCCACGTCACCTGTGCCTTTGAGCACAGCCTAGAGATGAAGACTATTCTAGATGAGGGAGATCAAGTGAAGTTCAAGTCATACTGCCTCAAGCATAGCCAAAACAGGCAGAAACTTGGGGAGGCTGAGTACCCCCACCACAGGGCTACAGAGCAGAGCCAGGCCAAAAGCGAGAAAACCAGCCTGCGGGCACAGAAGCTTCAGGAGCTGGAGGAGGAGTTCTATTCCTTGGTACGAGTGGAAGATGTGGCCACAGAGCTGGGGCTCCCCACGCTAGTTGTGGACTTTATCTATAACTACTGGAAACTGAAGCGGAAAAGTAACTTCAATAAGCCATTATTTCCTCCAAAGGAGGATGAAGAAAATGGGCTGGTGCAGCCAAAAGAGGAAAGCATTCACACTCGCATGAGAATGTTTATGCACCTGCGGCAGGACCTGGAGAGGGTAAGGTGACCAGCTGTGACTAGTATGTACGTCTCGGTCTGCAAAGAAATGGAGGTCCCATTTCCAGTTTAAAAATGGTCAGCTCATTGTAGTGCGGGCTTTCTGTGTCCTTGCTTATCTTCTGATTTCACTGTGGCCCCAGATATCAGGCTGTTTAAATTTTGACAGGCACAATTCAGGGGATTGGAGAGACCTCACTGATGTTCTCTGTGAACTTTAAATTTGAAGTATATTCTCATTTGGTTTACTTTTTATTCACTGTTGAGCCTAAATTGGCTGATCTATATTTTACTGATACATTTATGAGACCGGAGGCTGAGGAAAGAGTGAATTTTGTTCAAGCAAGCACTAGATCAGGGTTTCTCAAACTCTGCACTATTGACATGTTAGACGGGATGGTTTGTTATAGGGGGCTGTCCTTTGTTGTGGGGACATCGTAAGATGTTTAGCAGTATCCCTGGCCTCTACCCGCTAGATGCCAGTAGCACCCCCATAACACATACCCAGTGTGACAAACAAAAATGTTTCCAAATTACCAAATGCCCCCTGAGGGTCAAAATTGCCCCTGGTTGAGAGCCACTCCACCACATAATTCAGTTTAACTCATGACGTATTTATCAATTATCCATTAAATTAGGTGCTGCAAGAATTTAAAGATAGGCCCTGTGTTTACCCTAGAGAATTTTATAATTGAATATAATTATAGAAATGGCTTGATTTGTTTCTCTGCTACCAAAATTTGAAAGGGAACTAATAGATTTGGCTCAGTTTTTAAAATTTAGGACATACATATATAACACCTATTGTTATTACTATAGAAAAAAATACTATAATTATCATAATCATCCCTATTTACAGATGAACAAATTAGGGTACAGAAAAGTTAAGTAACTTGGCCAGGTAGGTAGTATGAGAGAGTGAGGATTTCACCCTGTGGCTGTAGAAACTTGGTTGAGCTCAAAGTATGAGCAAAAAAGCCACTTCCAGTCTTCCCAGCAAACCTTTATTCTGCTGGTCCAGCACTCCTTAGAAGATTGTACTGGGTACAGTATTGTCATCATTTGTACTCAGGGATGTAAAGGGAAGGCTGAATTGTTAAACCATCATTCAGTCTTTTCAACCTGGCTGTGTAAATAAATACCAAGCCTGTGACACTACAGGGAGAGAAAGTTTCAGGAGGCAGCTTTGGAACATTTTGCTTGTGTTGCTGATTAATATGGGAACCATAATCCCACAATTAATCATGCTGCATGGATTCTTGTGGAGTGGCTTTCATTCTGCAGCTCTTGGGTTCTGTCTTCTCTTTTCATCCTCCCCCACCCCACCTAACTTTCGGTGTCTTCATTTTAGCTAAACAATTTCAATTGTCAGGTTTACTTAACATGATGTCTTTATTTGCTGGGGATTGGGCTTTCAGGTCCGAAATCTGTGCTACATGATAAGCAGGCGAGAGAAGCTGAAACTGTCACATAGCAAAATGCAGGAACAGATCTTCAATATGCAAGTCGAGCTTGCTAACCAAGAAATTGCTGCAGGTAACCTGTATATTAAAAATGTCCTAACAAGTATATAGACACTGGTTGCATCCTATTTTAACAATTTAAATTTTATGTCAATTGTTCCACTTAAAAATCTTTAAAAATTCTTGTCAAATATCTCGTTCACTCCAGTCCAATCCTGATATAACATGGCCCACTTCGATGTCAACTAATGAGGCAAGAAATCCCAGAGTGGGGTGGGGGAAGTTGCAGGTCTAGGGCAGATAACCTAGGTCCAAGATAGATTACTTGTTCCCCAATGATTGAGACCATTACTTGGAGCCATGAAATTATTCTGTAATTATTGAATTCATTTAGAAATCAGTAGAATAGGATCTAACCCCAGTTTCCAGAAAACATTTAATTCCAGGATTATTCATCTTAATAGTCTAAAACAGCTTTAGCCAGAAGTTAGAAGATCTGAGTTCTTATCTTTTCATTTATTCACTAATATTTGTTGAACATCTACTGTGGACTAAGAACAGAGCTAGAAGACGAAGCATTCAGTAAGACAGAATCCCCACCACAGGGTACACTGCCCATTTGGTGAGTGAGACAGGTGAGCATAATTATAGTACCCTAAGCATGGTAAGCTTGGCTGGAATGATGACAATTATATTCAGTGATACCTATAACCTACCTCCCCGTGCCTCATTTAACACAAAAGTCAGTGGCAGAGCCTGAAGAACTAGGGGTCACAGGGCAGGGGGTGTGCAGAATCATCTCCTGCCAAGGGCCAGTCATAGAGCAAGAGAGATACTCAAGAAATGAGTTGTTACATCATGAGTCACAGCAGAGTGGTATAGCAGGAGGCAGCAGGGCTGCTCAGCCACGAGGGCAACAGTGACAGGCAAAACAGAACCAAATGACAGCAGGGAAAGCCCCCACATGCCAAGGAAATTGGCTCCTACCCACACACCTTCTGATTGCTAGGAGTGAGCTTCATTACAGCTTGCAGCATCAGCAGGTGGCAACCCCTGGCAGAGATGAGTTGGGGATCCTTGGGGGACAAATGCTGCCCATTGAGGCACATAAGAACTGTACTCTTCTATATCTCATTTTTGTGAGGCTACAGAAGATGATAATGGGCAAGTCCATATGCAAGGAGGAATTGTTTGGTAGTGCCTTTTTAATTTCAGAGCACTCAGAATAATAGAGGAAGCTCTGTACTAACTGTGATTATAGGGTAACATAACCGGGTAACTGATTGCTAATACTACCCAGGCTAAACCCATAGCTGGCCATTGGTAGGAATTGCTGTGATTCTTTTATGCTGGCCTCACCACTACAAAACTTCCCACCTCCATAATGGAAATTTGTAGTCAGGAAATTATTCTAGGTTAAGGATATAACATTTGCAGGAACCACCCACTACCACTTCTAATGCCAAGTTCAAACAGCATACATACTCTTCACCCTCCAAAACCTGTGTCTACATTTCTGAGGGTTTGTATTTGACTTGCTTTAGGAAGGCTAGAAAAGGTTGGAGGAGGGGGTCTGAAATGTGTCTGTTTAAGGCCTAACCTAAGTGCTTTACAGTACCTACGTGTGCACGCATGCGCGCGCGCACACACACACACACCCCCCACACACACAAATAGGGAGACCCTGTTCTAAACCATTACTAGTGACTACTTTTCAAAAATGGAAGAGGCAAAGATGAGAATGCAGGAGACAACACACTAGTCTTTGTGATCATTTTGCAGACAAAGAGTAGAGTTGGGGAGCCATATTGCAAATAGTGGCATTACTGAGTTTTTCATCTTTCGCACTCTTGGCCCCAACCTCTGGTTCACCTCATTCCAACTGTTACACCATGATGTACATACATACCAAAGTCAGATGCTTATTAGACATTTGGAAGAGTGGGTGTGTGAACCACTCTGCCATAAGAACATATGCCATTATTTAAATCAGTTGTTAAAATGAGTCTTTCTTTTTGATCTCAGGACTTCCTTTGACAAGTGCACTAGAAAACTCATTGTTTTACCCACCACCAAGAATTACCTTAAAGTTAAAAATGCCCAGATCAACCCAGGAAGACCGCAGAAAGAACTCCACAGAGACTGATCACCGACCCCACTCTCCTGACAGCGACTCCCCTGTTCATAGTATAAAGAGCATGCAGGTGCCTCAGGAGCCTCTAGAAATGAGAGTGAAATCGTATCAGAGATATCCACTAGAGAGCAAGAATAACCGTTTGCTGGCCAGTCTCAGCCATTCCAGGAGTGAAGCAAAGGATTCCAGTCCTTCTTGGAGAACCCCATCTTCAGAGTTCTATCATGGGCAGTCACTGGGAAAGCCTCTGGTCCTTCAGGCTGCCCTCCATGGACAGTCTTCCATTGGGAATGGGAAAAGTCAGCCTAACTCAAAGTTTGTGAAATCCAATGGTCTAGAGGGCAGCTGGTCTGAGAATGTCACCCAAAAAGATAGCTCAAGTGAGATGTTCTGTGATCAGGAGTCCATGCTAAGCTCACACTTGGCCAGTCAGGGCAGCTTTAGAAAATCCACCATGGAACATTTTGGCAGATCCTTTAAAGAGGCCACCAACAGGTGGGTGAGGACCACAGAGGACCTCCAATGCTGTGTGAAACCAACCAAGAATACAAACTCCAAAGAGCAGTTGTGGGGTAGGCAGCTTCTCAGGCGGTCTGCAGGGAAAGCTCCATATCAGGAAAATGATGGGTATTGCCCAGATTTGGAGCTGAGTGATTCAGAAGTAGAAAGTGATGGGAATAAAGAAAAGGTCAGGGTAAGGAGAGATAGCTCAGACAGGGAAAATCCTCCCCATGACTCTAGACGGGATTGCCACAATAAAAGCAAGCCACACCCCCTTTCCCACAGTTCAATGCAAAGGTGATCAGAAACTCCCAAGGATAACCCAACCTTTGCCTTTGCCCCATATATTGGGGAAAACCCATACACCAAAAGGATTCTAGCATATGTTAGGAGGAATTGCAATGAAAAGGATGAAATTTTTCCACACTAAATCCGCTTGCAGTTTTTTAAAAGGTTTCAAGTCTAGTTTTTACAAACATGCTACAGGAATTGCAGATTGTCCAGAGGTTTGTCAGCGGCTATTTGGAGCAGCTGGGCCCAGAATATTTACTCAGTAAATATTTTGAGTCAGCTTTCCAGTTATAGTAACACATTGATAAGTGTATGTATTAAGAGTCCTTGCGTTGTTAACAGATTTGCAAGAGACCATGATTATCAGACACTAAAACTACTTACCTTTTGAAGCTACAGCATGTGACTCCCAGAGTCCTGTCTGTAGGAAATTTCTAACTCCACTGGTATCTATAAACCTTCTTCAGGGGAGAGACCAGGAGAGCGACATCTCAGATACTGTCAAACTCACTACCCTCTTCCTTTGCACAAGGTCGAGTTCCTTTCACAGTATCTTACCTTACTGAGTCATTACTGCTAATGCTCATAATTGTCCAGTGCCTGTTCCTAGACTTGCCTGTTAGGGACACACTCATAACTTTTTTTACCCAGCTAACAAGCATAAAAGGCTAACTTGTGGATAGTGTTTACAAAAGTACAAAAGTACTACTTCTAAGGAAAATGCTCTGATTGTCTCTGTCTAGGCATTTGTGAAGGATCCCAGAGCCTTTCCCAAAGTGAGACCATTTCTGGGGTATTTGTACCAGGTCAGGGTTTTGTGTTGTTGTTTTCAAATAAGTTTGGCTGACAGTTTTTGTATACCTGCTTTAATGTTTATAAAATTTTTATTGAGGTATAATTAAAATATAATGAAATGCACAGAGGTTAAATATTCTTACCTGCTTTAATTTTGAAACAGATTTTTATTGTCAAACAGAATTTGAAAGCATGTGTTTAACACATGGATATAATTTAGCTTTGTATCAACTTTGAATCTGAGGCAATTTCCCAAACAAAAAGGCTGGAGCCATTTTTCAGAAGTTGCTTATACCTTGTTCCCAAACTATCAGCCTTGATGAATTTCTGAGAGGAAGAGAATAATTACATTGAGGAGGGATAAAAAAAGTATATGTCTGCTTCCCATTTAAAGAAGGGAGAAATGTTGCAGTTTTAAAAATGTGAAACAGATTATAATTCTCAGCTCTCATTTCTTCTTAGCCTTAAATTAACATTCTCTTCTAGTTTGGGGAAAGAATAGTGGTAATTTTCAGACTCATTTTCAATTTTTAAAGTTTCCTGCTGGTGAAACAGCCCAGCTGTAGTAGATGCCAGTCAGTCAAGGCAGGGGCCCTCTCTATATCAATATGGAAAACCCAGCAGTTTTCCTCTCCCCCACTTTTGTTCTTGTGCCCTTGTTAATGGGTTCTTTTACTTTTTGCTTTCTCCTTTTCTGAAAACTTTTGTATTTTGCCTTTCCTTCGGATACATCTTCAAAATGCTTCTTTTGTGCCTATGTACATGTGTGAACATGCCATAGCACGTGGGGTAGATGTCCTATATTTTGTTTGAATGGCAAAAACTATGGATTATCCAAAATGAGGAAGAGAAATTCCCCTATTTATGTATTAGGTGCTTTTTCTTTGAATTCTTCTGGAGTAGGTATTAATTTGACACCTTCATGGTAAAGAAATTATATGGAGCCGTGTTGTAAATTCCTTATGTCAGAGGCCAATGCAATAGCCTGTGTCCTTTCATGCCTTTCAATTCTGAGTGAGTGGGAGGAAAAGCAAACATCAAAACAGTGCTTCAGCCACATTTCATATGTAATGCCATTGGGAAAGTATTGACTAAAATATCATTCCAGTCAGGGAAACAAAGTTGTAATATTTTTACAGGATTTTCCTAGGTAAATGAAGGAGCCTTCAGTTGTATAAATTTCAATTGCCCCAAAATGTATTTGCTACATTTTGTTGTTGTTTGAAGTATTACCTCTTAACCCTCTTTGTTAATTTTTTTCATTTTGTCTTATATAGTCCAGTTTTCCAAGATAAATTCAGTCTTTTTTCAAATGTCACCTTTTTACCAATACTTTTTAATTAAATTATGAAAACTGTTAACTACTGTCAGTGTGGTAATTTTTTATTTTGGTACATTGGTTTTAGAAAATCTTAGATATGTTCCTTTTATATTTAAAAAATCATATTCACAGTTTATAGCAGCACAATTCACAATTGCAAAGATGTGGAAACAACCCAAGTGCCCATCAATACATGAGTTGATTCATAAAATGTGGTATACATATACCACAGAGTTCTACTCAGCCACAAAAAATAATGGTGATCTAAGACCTCTTGTATTTTCCTGGATAGAGCTGGATCCCATTCTACTAAGTGAAGTATCCCAAGAATGGAAAAACAAGCACGACATGTGCTCACCAGCAAATCGATATTAACTCATCAACACTTAAGTGCACATATAGTAGTAACATTCATCGGGTGTCGGGCAGATGGGAATGGGGAGGAAGGGATGGGTATATACACACCTAATGGATGCAGTGCGCACTGTCTGGGGGATGGACACGCTTGAAGTTCTGACTCGGGTGGGGCAAGGGCAATATATGTAACCTAAACATTTGTACCCCTATAATATGCTGAAATAAAAAATAAAAATTAAAAATCATATTCACAAAACAAATAAATGATGTGGGAAGAGGAAGGAGGAGGAGGAATTGAATGTTTAGAAGCACAGATTCACAATTCATGTCAATACTCAGGGCCAAAGAGAACTCTGGATACTTGGACTCTACCCAGAAATCATGATTTCATCAGGCTAGCAAGATAAAGACCTTAGGATCATCATAAAAAATCTCCAGGTAAATAGGTCCTATCTAAAGAGATAAGGTTTAGAAGGCTTAGATCAGACATCACTTAAAATATATGTTCTTTACAATATTCACTGTATTTGGAGTCATGTGAGTATATTAATGTCATAGTTATGTGGTGTCATGGGACTTTGGGGCATTATTAACATTTTCATGATGAGAAATGTGCTTGCCAAAGGTCATTGGGTAAATCTGTAGTGAAGATAGGTAAGAGGTGGTTGTTTTTCTCAGTCTCTCCCCCCTCTCCCTTGTTAATGGACAACTGTTTTGATCTGGTAAATCGTTAGATAAAATGCTGGAGAACTGAAGCTATAAATATACCCTGTTATAGCCAACAAAAGCCATCAGTTTTTACTAATGTGTACGTTTCCAGTGGGAGATGAACCTTTGTCTTTGTGTTAAAGCAACTTTTAAATTTAGAGAATAAACCAAAAGATGCACAGTCCTCGGTTTTTTCCTCTACAGGACTTTAAAATCTTCAGTATGCTTGCTGACCCTTAAGAATTAAGAAAAAGTACATGATAGGAGGAAAAACTTATTTACCACTGTATAACTTTCATATGATATTTTCCAAAACATGTATCTTATTTATAACAAATTTTATTAGATTTTCACAACCTTAATTCAATTATTTTCAAGTTTTATAGAAAGCAGCAATTTTGTATTGATTTTTTAAAAAGTAACTTTTAGGCTGGGCACAGTAGTTCATACCTGTAATCGTAGCACTTCGAAAGACTGAGGCAGGAGGATTGCTTGAGGCCAGGGGCTCAAGGCCAGCCTGGTCAACATAATGAGACGCTGTCTCTGCAAAAAAAAAAATAATAATAATAAAGATAAAAGTAACTTGTAGTTAATAAAGATCCACCCTGAAGCTGTCACTCCTATGCCAGAAGCTTTGTAACATTCAATCTGGCACTGTTAAAGAAGGCTTCTGTGAATTCAGTTGATTTTATTTCATAGGTTGGAACAAATTGTGTGAACTAAAGACATGAGGATAGTTGTCCTTGAAATGAGTCAGAGTTAGGAAGGCTCAAGCCCCAGACTGGTGTCCTCCACTCAGGTCCAGTCACTGATGAGTTCTTTGACCTGATGCTCCCTAAAGACATTAATCATCTTCATAAAGTCAGAGCATCTATCATTTCTCATTTTGTTAAGGTGGATTTGAGTGTGAACATTCCAGTCTCAAGGCCTGAATACCCCCACACTTTAAGTTTCCTTCCCCTCCCCTCAATATTCCTGCTTACCTTCTCATTTTCATTTATTATAACTGAATAGCAAGTTATAAACAAGATGGAAAGATGGAATTGAGCTATTCAAGCTACCCTCATTACAGCAAATTATCTGAATTTGGAGACCCTTTGCACAACTGTCTTTCACTCTACATTGCTTTCTAAAGTATTGCCATGATGTAATGAAGCTGCTTTTGTAAACCACATGTGGAAACATGTCTCATTATTTTACAGTCATTTCTCACATGATGAGAAAACTTTATTCTGAGAATTGCTGAAATTTTGAAAATTATAATCTCATTGAATTAATTACTTCAGCCTTATAACAGAAAGATACTTCAGGTTGGACCATTACCTTTTAGAAAAAAAACATTAACTACTTATTCCTGCTTAAGATAAACCTGGCATATGTGCCAGGGTTCTGGTAAACAGAGTTTTCCTTTTTTCACCCTAGCTTTTCCTCTTCTACTTTCTAAAATAGTATCTCTGGTTAATTCTTCCCCCTCCTCACATCTTTGCAAACAGAGGTAGCCATAGGAGTAAAACCAACAACAGTGTTCACAAGGCTGTTGGCTATCCACAGTACTGTGGCCACTCAGTGTTTTCAGTCATACTTGCCCACAGGGATAACAATGAACAAGATCACACCAGGATGCCTGCATCTTTGGAGCAGAATTTATGCCGGTATCTTGCCCCTCAGTCCTCAAAGATGGACTGAGAACTACATGGGCAAAGACCAGGCTAAAGGTCAGTTTCAAGACAGCTGCTTAGGTCCCCTAAGGAAGCCAACCAAGACCAAAACCCTTGGTAGGATAAGCCAGAAAACTTGTTTGGGGCTAATCAAATCTTCAAATATTAATAAATGCAACAATATTCATCAAGCCCTAACTCTGTGTAATGCCTTTTTCTAAGCCTTTTCCATGAGACTACCCTATATTTAGTTCTCACAACAACCATATGAAGATGATACTATTAGCTCCATTTGACATATGTTAAAATTGAGGCCAAATCATTAAGACAGTTGTTCAAGGCCCTACAGCTAGTATACAGCAGGGTCAGGACTAGAACCTGTGATGTTGCCTTTACAGCTCATATTTTTGGTCACTTTGCTTGATTCCTATGTCCAAAGTCCCCTCTCTAAGTATTCTTACTCCATTTCTTCCTGAAGAAAGCAGCCTGAGTTGGGATTTAATCATATGGATTCTGTTCCACTTGATCCCTGCCATGTTGGAAAAATTGGACCAAAATTAGTCATCTAACACAAAGACAAACACTTAAAAGGCTCACATCCAAAGTGTAAAATAATTCACACAAATCTGGACAAGACAGGCCTCACAATAAATCTGGGACCTGATGGACTTTCCTTCTCCATAGCTAGTCTAACTTGTAAATGAGTATAGCAGGCTAAATAATGGCTCCCCAAAGATTGTCCACATCCTAATCCCTGGAACTGAATATTACCTTGCATAATAAAAGGGGCTTAGCATATATAATTAAAGTTAAGGGCCTTGAGATGGGGAGGTTATTCTGGATTATCTAGGTGGGCTCAACCAATATGGTCACAAAGGTACTTATAAGAGGGAGTCAGTAGTAGGAGATATGACAATGGAAGAAAGAGATTGGAGTAATGCAAAGAAGAATCATGAACTAAAGAATGCAGGCAGCCTCTAGAAACTGAAAAAGGCAAGGAAACTCCACTGAAGTTTCCAGAAGGAACTAAGCCCTGCCTACACTGTGATTTTAGATTTTTGACCTCCAGAACTATAAGAGAACAAATTTGTGTTGTTTTAAGCCACTAAATTTGTGGTAATTTGTTATACCAGAAATAGAAAACTAATACACTGGGCATAGAGCAAGTGCACCTTACCCTTTCAGGAAATGTTCCTTGTTCCCAGTGTGCCCTTCTGTGCTGCGATACTCTTAAGTTAGTCATATAGTTTCACTCTTAATTGAACACTTTCATGAAATGGAAAACAAGTGGATTTTTTTCAGTCAATAAAATCCTCCCCTGTAGAAATTAGTTTTCTCTTTCATGCCCCCGCACTTTTTCCAAGGTAGCCTTTGGTACTTCTTAGGTAGCCTTGGATAATCCTCCAAGGGCCTCCTTGATCCATTGTGGCTAAATCTGGCACTGCCTGAGGAGTTGCCATAGGTTTGTGTGTCCCTGTTGTCTGAAAAAATGCCCAGGGAAAGTAGAAATAATTCCTGAATATTACTCCAGAGGGGAGGTGATAGAAGGCACGAGTGGTTCATTATTATGAGGAATGATGCTCTAGTTATCAGAGCCTCCTAAAAGGAAGTGAGGTGGCCTGAAGAGTTGAGTTCTTAAAGATCCCACATATCTAAAAAGAACTTGGGGATTAAAGAATGCAACTCTGTGCCACCTACAAAAAGCCCACTTTATATGTAAACACACAGATAGGTTAAAAGTAAGAGGATGGAAAAAGGTATACCATGCTAACTCTAACCAAAAGAAAGCTGGGGTAGCTATATTAGTATCATACAAGGGTAAATTCATCAAGAGGACATAACAATCTTAAGTGTTTATGCACCTAATAACATAGCTTCAAAATATATTAAGCAAACACTGAGTAGAACTGCAAGGAGAGCTAGACAAATCCACAATTATAGGTTATGTCTATAGTTAATAGAACAAATACACAGAAAATAAGTAAAGATATAGATTTGAACACCTAGATTTAATTTACATTTACCACTCTACCCAACAACTGCAGAATACACATCCTTTTCAAATGCACATGAAACATTTATCAAGATAGACCATATTCTGGGCCATTTATTAAACAAGTCTTAATAAATTTAAAAGGATTCTAGTCAAAGTATGTTCTTTAACCACAGTGGAATGAAAGTAGAAATCAATAACAGAAACATCTCTGAAAAATCCAATTATTTGAAACTAAGTAACACATGAGTCAAAAAAGAACTCAAAAAGGAAATTAGAAAGTATTTTGAACTGAATGAAAAAAACATTGGCATGGCGATG